GAGGCGTATGTACGGATATATGCTCAATCTCAAATCGTCGATGGGTGGTTTGGCATATGGTATGCCCAAGAAGGCCTCAAATGAATCGCTCACATTGGCACTCATATATCGGACCGATATTTTAACAATACACCAAATACATACAAATACAAAGTAATTCCTTTCACTATTGCGAAGATTCGATAAACTCTAACAATTGTTTAAAAATCTGACTTTATGCAAATTTTGTATACCAAACCAGAGGCCATAAAAAATGGATAAATAAAAAAGTAAAATGTTTAAGATTGTTATCAAAATAACTTTTAGAAATGTMCTAACAATAATGCTCAAGTCGGTGTTTGCTACGACTCAACATGTCTTATTTTTGCTTATTTAACTATAGACGTTTGAATTTCAAAATAAAACAAATAAATACATTTTTCTAAAAGGATGTGTTATAATTAAAATATAAAAAAAATTGTCGACTCACTTGTTTTGTCACTCGTTTTCAAAAAGCTTATTTCACCACTTCACCACTTATACTTTTTATAGTATAAACGTTATATTTATGCATTTTTATTATATTGAGCGCCCAAAYAATTTTTTATTTATTTTCAAGATTTAAAAAAAAAAAATGGCAGCCCCATTAAGATGGCTATGTGTTGCCAGGTGTATACGAGTATGAAATTGATACAATACACTACGAGTCTAAGTACAATTTTACCTATTCACGGTAGAACAAGATAAATATTGGCTGCTGATAAGATTTGCCATTAGCTCATTAGGGTGACTAACCTTTAACGAAAACTAATTAATGGAAATTTCTATACAATAGAAGAATGAGTGTGGCTGAGCGGAAGTTCATATTCTATGATTAGGTAAAAAATTTTCTGGGTATATACATAGTAAATCATGCTCTCTAACAGTTAATAAATAAACCTATAAAAAATATTACCATGGATTGGGATTTTATGGAAGAAACTCATACAATGAGCAACAGACGCATCCAAAGAGGCCTAAAAACTCTAATTATTAAATATTTCCTCGAATAAGTGATTCAAACTGTCATATTCAAGCCTATCTCTGGCTAATCGCTAATTACTAATAAAATCTCACTACTTACCAAACACTCTACTTGACTTATCTGACATGTGGAAGTGTCTTTGTTGACAGATGAAATTTTAGTACTTTTGGCCTCATTTGCCTAAAAGGGAACCGACACCATGCCTGATAGCGCGAATATATATATATATATATATTTTAATAATATCTAAACAATTTCAGAAATTACTTTTTAGGTCATGCACCCTAATTTACAAAATAAAACTAATTTATGTATTTGAAATCGTTTCGAAAATATCATAAAACACTACAAAATAATTTATGATTAAACTTCTGGTTTAGTATAAAAGATTTGCGTAAGGTCCGATTCTCAACCAATTGCTAGAGTCTGTCGAACTGCCGCAGTAATGAAAGGAATTAGTTTGTCGTTAACGGTGTTGGTGTATTGTGCAAATATCGATTCGATACGCGCCAATTTACCGAAGGTATGCTTAGACGGTTCATCCTGTGTGCTCGGCAGATATATGAGTGGCAATGAGAGCGATTCATTTGAAGCTTTCTTGGGCATACCATACGCCAAACCACCCATCGGTAATTTGAGATTCAGTGTAAGTAAGAAGCATACGTCTCGAGCAAATAATGTTTTGATTGCAACAGTATATTTATAATCTAATTAAAGAATCCTCAAGAAGTGGAACTATGGAATGGCACCTTATCAGCACTATATCCTATGTCTGATTGTATGCAACGTAATTATCTCTTATTAACAGACTCTATTAGCGGTTCAGAGGATTGCTTATACTTGAATATATATCGACCCTTGGTACCTAATATTCCATTTTATTTTTTTTTTGGTTCCATACTAATTACATAATATATTTTAATTTTTTTTTGCAGAACAATACTGAAAAATTGCCAGTCATGTTTTATATACACGGTGGTGGATTTTTCGCYGGCTCACCAAGTCCCAGCGAGGAAGGACCGCAATATTTTATGGAAAYGAGTGATGTAATTTTAGTAGTGACTGCCTATCGCTTGGGTCCATTTGGTAAGTGATGYTAGATTTGGTTGTAGACCGGTTCAAAATCAAARCAGATTATTATTATGGGAACATATTGTTCAGAGTTAGACATAAGGCAATCTTTTAGGTTGCCGGACTACTGTAATATATTTCAAACTGAAGTTCATTGCTGTTAGGAAAGACGCGCAACAAAGGCATCGAGGGCAATGAAATAGTGGACGAGATTGCCAGGAATAATGTACGGCTAACATCCGAAAACGTGATTAATATTGGGAAGCCCATGCGGCGATGTCGATATGGTGAATGAAATCAAAACCCGATKAAACRTGCTACCAGGGTGTAAAACTGCAAAAGCCATGTGCAAACGGTGGATCGGATAGATTCCTATTGGCAYTCGTTTGAAGAGACTGATGGAGCATGATGGGAACTAACTAACTAACTGGTCACTGTCTGGTGTCGACACACGCCCCCAGGATGGGGCTGACAGATCGAGAAGACTGCAGGAAATGTCTAGAGCAGGGTATCAGGGAAACAATGAAGCATCTTAGTGCACTTGTCCCACAAGACTACGCTGTATCTGGCGTTCCCACAGTGTGATGCACTGGAGGAGGTATCGACAGTGAGGCCGCAGAATCTGTTAAAATTCGCGTCCATCGCAGTCATCCTAAATTATGACTACTCCTCTTGGACTTAGCAAGCTAACTCCATTTGGTATCGCAAAGGACCAAACTGGTCTATGCGTGGYTTATTTGCTTACCAGATTAACATAAGCTATATTTCATTATAAAATTATATGTAGAACTCAGCAACTTTAAAGCTGATATCCGTATATTATCTTTATAGAGACACCCTTTTAAAACAATGAGTAATAATATATTAAACGTGAAATGCTTCGAAATTTTAGAAACCCACTCACACCGAAAATATTACAAATTTTCGTGATCGACTGAAATAATTTTAAAGCAATAGTCATTAATTCAAGATATTTCGACATATCCAAGAGAATCTTATTATTAATACCAATATTATTTGTATTATTGTGTTATTTTCTACAGGTTTCCTTTCTACTAACGATGAACAGATGACGGGAAATTATGGACTTAAAGATCAGAAATTAGCACTACAATGGGTTAAGAAGTACATTTCGGCTTTTGGCGGTGATCCCGACCGTGTGACTATTTTCGGTCATAGCGCTGGCGCTGCATCAGTCCATTCACACTTAATGAATAACAATAAAGAGGGTAACTGATAAAGCCATAAAGACGATACCTAGTATTGGAAGCACTGTTACCTCGACACTTTTTCAGGTCTATTCAGCAAAGCTATTATGATTAGTGGCGCCGCAAACGCACCTTTCGCTTTGCCATTAAACGATCCTAGAGACCAAGTCGTTCAACTGGCTAAAGCTGCTGGTGTAACAGAAGCTGAGAATCTAAGTTCCGCTTGCCTAGTTCACGCGTTGCGATCGATCAAACCGGAAGACTTACTACTAGCCGCCGATAATCTTAAGCTGTGGGCTGARCAACCACTTGTAGTATTCCGCCCGAATATTGAAAATGACACCTGGCCTGGTGCATTCTTAACAAAAGATCCATTGGACCCATTCATACCGTTTGGAACGAACACTGATACACCTTGGATCGTTGGTAATGCACCTGCCAAGGGTGAGGGTTTGGTTATAGCACTTCGATTAGCAAGCAATAAGAAT